CATATACTACAGCTTCCAGTCAAAACTCTTCAGACAGTCCAGCTTGCGCAAGTAGTGTTCTAGCCATCTCAACCATAGTTCGACGAGTCCGTTCACATCGTCCGTTACGTTCAGGGGTCCGAGCAGCTGTAAGACTTTGTACGATGCCTCGAGCCTCCAGCATAGATTTCCAAGTCTCGTTCATAATCTCACCGCCACGATCACCATGAGCACGTTCAGGAAATCTTCTGAGTATTATGAATTCCGTATCCAGCAAGGTACGCATCGTCGTGGTTGCATCGGACTTTGTTTTTACCCCAAGCACCAGTTCATATATGTCAACATCGTCCAAAGCATGAAGATTATACCGCTTGTCGTTCAAGGATGGCGTCTCAGACTTCTCGAATATGTCGACAAACAGCTTCGACCTGGAATCTGTAAAGTAATACTGTCACTTTTCTTCTTCGCTCGCTTCTTCGCTCGCGACTTCCGTCTGCTTTCCTTCAGCACACGCTTTGTAGACTGAATTCTTATCCGTCCAACCTTTCATGCCCTTCTCCATATTTCGCGCGTCAACCGAAGACTAATGTTTCGTCTACGAAATCGCCATCATCGTCATCATATTCAGCAGGCTGCTCATCCAAATCGTGCTCATCGAGAGCACTATCACTACCCCATTCGAATGGTGAAGATTCTTCATGGGCAACAGATCCCTCGACATCACTACCCCAATGAAACGATGAAGATTCGGATAAGATTCGGAATCGTCGTGATAATCGGCTGGATCATCTGACTCAGATGAATCACTCATCAGACTTGGCATGCATCACTGTCTCCAGACTCATTACTGGCAGCAGTGCTTGCAGCGATAAAGCCAAAGCCAAAGGATCCATCTTCATCTTTCTCAGTATTCAAGCCAGGACAATCTCGTTTGGTAGGACCAGACTATTTCCAATTCAAACATACCATCTTTCCGCGACAGTTCATCCTTGTATGACCTGTCCTGGCTTAAGACATTTCAGACAGGTCAGTGTCTCCTTCACCACCATCTTCATATAATTCAAGGCCTGTCTCAAAAACAATAGCAGCTTCCTTCACTTGCGTGTAGTTAAATCGATTCCTAGTGGCCACCTTTGCATTGATATCGGTTCTCAGAGGTGCAAACTGACGAGTAAGTGCCTTGGTGAATGCCAAACGTTCGTGGGTATATATCAACTCCATCACCTTGGTCTGCTATCTGACCAAAAAGAATCTCCAAACGGTCGGAAAGGCCGGATATATTTTTGCCATCAGTTATGCACATTCGGTCCAATTTCTTGGTAAGGACATCCAGATTAGCCTCAGTCTGTCGATTCATTGCAGTAGTGATCCGGGCCAAAGCTACAGCACAACTATCGTCAACACTCTGCACGATAATAGAATAGGCAATCTCTTGTTCTGGCTCGTTAGCCGCGTTGAAAACACCCTTCTCCTTCAACTTGGCGATCATCTTCAGCCTCCAAAATGGGTTCCACGTACTTCATAACGTGAACCTTGGACTATTCAATAGTTTATCAATCGGTCGGTCAGACGGTCGATCGGTAGGTCGGACTCTCAATCTTTCAATCTCACTTTTGATGTATCTTTCTGTGCCTCTCGCACACAGACTCTCTCTCTCACTCACTCGCACACGGTCTGGACTCTCTCTCACACACCGTCACACGCGGACTTCTCTCTCTCACATTCTCGCACACAAACTCTCTCTCACACACTCGCCAACAGCCTCTCTCTCTCTCTCTCACACACACAGACTTTCGCTCTGTCAATCTTCAGTATCTCACACTCTCGTAATCACAATCTCTCAAACATTCAATAACTATTCACTCAATGTATAGTGACTCTAAAGCTCATAGCCACCTACAAAAACCCTAAAAATCGGTACAAGCGGTCAAAGTGCTATCTCAAAATCGATATGCCCGAAACTGTGGAAGTTACGTTGCTACAAGTGTGCACTTGTGCTTAGCGCCTCGAGATGCCAATGTTCTGTTTGATTTTTAGTATATATA